TATTCCTGATGTTCTGAGGGAAAATCCAAATTCACAATCTACCATTTTCTTCTCCAATATTTGATTGCAAAGATTTCAGCAGTATAAGCTTCAGTTATTATCATACACTTGGTCATTGAAGTTTGTGACCTGCAGAATGCAATATGTTTTGATTCAAAAGGAAAAATGGGCTGAACAGGTGGCAGAATGGACAATGGGTGAGGTTAGAAATAGGGTAAATTAAGCTGGGGAGTACCAGCCACTAGTGCAACAGCTTTTCCCACTCTTCTCATATGCCCTTACAGTTTCTATAGGGGAGGCACAATAGGGGTACGGGATATTCTGCGTAGTATGGAGACAGTGAAGTCAGCCAAAGAAATTGATTACCGTACTGTCAGGCCACATAACACAAAACCAACATAAGAACATAAGAATATATGAAGAGCCCTGCTGGATCAGACCAATAGTCCATCTAGTCCAGCATCCTGTCTAAAACAGTGACCAACCAGTTCTTCTGGACAGCAAACAGTGTATAGATGCTGAGGCCTTTCTCTGATATTGCCTCCTGGCTCTGGGATTCAGAGGATTAGCGCCTCTGAATGTGGAGAGGTTCCTCTTCAGTCACCATGACTAGTAGTCATTGATAGACGTATCCTCCATGAATCTACCTAAACCCCTTTTAAAGCTGTTTATTCCTGTGGTCATCACTACATCCTCTGGAAGCAAATTACACATTTTAATCACTCTCTGTGTAAAGGAGTATTTCCTTTTGTCTGTCCTGACCGTACTGCCCATCAGCCTCATTGGAGGCCCTCGAGTTCTAGTATTTTGGGAGAGGGAGAAAAAGTTCTCTGTCAACTCTGAGTGACTTCTTGGCACCTGACTGATGCCATCTGAGTGACTTGATGGCACCTGACTGGCATGACAACTAGGCCTGGCTGCTTGCTCCTCCACCCCATGCATCTGATCTGATATATATAAAAGCCTAATGTACTGACACTTTTCAGCTCTTCCATTGGCTGTGCTGTGCGCTCCATCAGCCATTGGCCCATCAACTGCCACTCAAAGGTATTTGTGTGTCATTGGCTGGGTACTGGGTCCGCTCCCCTCGCCCACCCACTGCTAGCCTGGCCACTATTCCCTGACAGAATACTGCTAAAACAGCTGTCTCTCCTGATGAAGGCACTTCACCTCCTCCTGCTGCTGGCTCACTTTCACTTCAGTGGCTGTTGCTAAGCAACCAAGCTTGGTTCTGTCAGTAAAAGGTGGGGGGAGGAGGAGGCCCTTTCCAGGCCTATTTTGGTCTTTGAGAGAAAACTCACTGGGGCCTGTCCTGACTAGGGTTGGCAGGTCCAGGTTGGAAAATTCCAGGAGATTTTATGGTGGAGTCTACAGAAGGCAGAATTTGGGGAGGGGAGAGGCCTCAGCTGAACAGAATGCCATAGAGTCCACCCTCCAAAGCAGTTATTTTCTCTAGGGGGAGAGAGATCTGTTGTGTGGAGTTCAGTTGTGATACCAGGCGATCTTCAGGCTCCACCTAGAGGCTGGCTACCCAAGGCCCAGCAGCGCCCTCTGAGTGACTTGATGACACCTGACTGGCATGACAACTAGGCCTGGCTGCTTGCTCCTGTTCACCTCTAGCAGCCCCTCTATTAAAAAAAAATATTTAACATAAATATTTAGGAGGAGGAGGAGGAGCCTGGATTTATACCCCGCCCTTCACTACCCGAAGGAGTTTCAGAGCGGCTTACAATCCCTTTCCCTTCCCCTTCTCACAACAGACACCCTGTGAGGTAGGCGGAGTTGAGAGAGCTCTCTTGAGAACTGCCCTTGAGAGAACATCTCTGAAAGAACTTATAACTGACCCAAGGTCACACCAGCAGCTGCATGTGGAGGAGTGGGGAATCAAACCCAGTTCTCCCAGATTAGAGTCTACACTCTTAGCCACTACTCCAAACTGGCTCTCAACTAGGATAGCCAGTATGGCGCAGCAGTTAGCACTTCAGAGCAAGGTCTGCCAGACCCAGATTCTTGCTTGTGGAAGGTGAGTGGGTGATTTCAGACAAGTCAGACTTTCAGCCTAACCTACCTCACAGGGTTGTTGTGCAGATCAAAAGGGGGAGAGGAGAATGATGTAATCTGCTCTGACCCCCACTGTGGAGAAAGACTGTACTGTTTCTCCTGGGAACCACTGTTGCCAATCTCCAGGTGAGGGCTGGAGATCACTCAGAATTACAACTGCTCTCCAGATGGCGGACATCACTTCCCCTGGAGAAAATGGTGGACTCTATCTCATTATGGACTGCTGAGGTGCCTCCCCCCCCATTACAGCCAGTGTGATATAACAGTTAGTGCTTCAGGGCAGGGTCTGCCAGACCCAGGTTCCTGCTGTGGAAGTTGATTGGGTGATTTCTGACCACTCACAGACTTTCAGCCTAACCTACCTCAGAGAATTGTTGTGCAGACTGAAAGAGGGAGAGGAGAATGATGTGAGCTGCTTTGGTCCCTACTGTGGAGAAAGACTGTTCTTTTCCTAGATAGATGCTGCAGGGAGGGGGGAGGAGATGGAAAGCTGAAATCCAAGGAGCAGATAAAGGTAGGTTGATGATTGGCTGGGAAGGAGATATGGTTGCCAACTCCAAGTTGGGAAATTTCTGGAGATTTGAGGGGTGGAACCTAGAGAGGGTGGCATTGTACCTCAGACAGGTACAATGCCATAGATTCCATCCTCCAAACCAATCATTTCCTCCTGGGGAACCATTGTTGCCAATCTCCAGGTGAGAGCTGGAGATCACTCAGAATTACAGGTGCTCTTCAGATGGCAGTTTCCTTGGAGAAAACAGTGGACTCTGTGTCACTATACCCTGCTGAGGTCACCACAGAAAACTGATGCTGAGTGCCCACGGTCAGGGCACCTGCCCAGAGCCTCTTTCTAGAGTTCATTGTATTTCCACAATGGGCCTTATTTCTAGTAATTTTATACATCTCTATCATGTCCCCCATTAATCGTCTGTTTTCTAAACTGAAAAGTCTCAGACTCTTCAGCCTTCCCTCATCGGGAAGGTGCTCCAACCCCCTAATAATCTTGGTTGCCCTCCTCTGCACTTTTACCAGCTCTGCAATGGAATATGTAATGATAGGTATTGAGATGGATAAATTTAAAACAGAATTAGATAAACTCATGAATGATCAATCAATAAAGCTATGAATGGCTGAATGGAACCTCCAATTTCAAGTGCAGTATACAAATTTCTGGGGGGTAAACAGCAGGGTTGCCATCATGTCCTGCTTGTGGGTTTTCTTTAAACATCTTGGTGGCCACTACCGGAGACAGGATACTGGACCAGATGGAACCTTGATGTTCCCACTTATGCCCTCGTTTTCTTTTCCTGTGGCTACCAACAGGCCCATTGGCAGTTTCCCCATGGCCAACCCAAAACTAGCACACCTGAAAATTTACACGCGCCATTCAAGACCCTCCCAACCATTACATATAATCCTGCTTGTTGTCTGGACTATCCTCTCACCTTCTACTAATTCTTCCACAGTCCCCAGTTCTGGTGACTATTATAGCTGATTGCCCCTTCCCATTACTGGGGTGTGTGTGTCCATCCTCCCCACTTCTTTAAATCTAAATAACCATTTCTTTCTAAATCCACTGCCTCTGCGCACATTCATTCAATGGTACCAAGCACTTAGAGGAAAAGGCAATGCCCCAGGATGCCAGCTTATCATAAGAACATAAGAACATAAGAGATGCCAATGTTGGATCAGGCCAAAGGCCCATCCAGTCCAACACTCTGTATCCCACAGTGGCCAGAAATACCAGTGCCATCAGGAGGTCCACCAGTGGGGCCAGGACATTAGAAGCCATCCCACTGCTGACCCCCCCAAGCACCAAGATGACAGAGCATCACTTGCCCCAGAGTCCCTATCTATACCTTGTGGCTAATAGCCACTGATGGACCTCTGCTATCGTATCATCCTTCTATTATGAACATCCACCACTGAGAAGCCAGTAGGGTTGCTAGATCCAATCTTCTCCCCAGCAAGGGGGGGGGGATTGGGGGCATTCCAGGAGAGGGCATGGCCATCCCCGACCTAATGACATCACACAAAGTGATGCCATCACTTCCTGGATGCAACTTACCCCCCCCACCTTTTCCAAACCATTTAAAGGAAACCTTCCCTTATGGTTGGGGGGGGGGAGCAAGTGCCAAGTGTGCCTGCCCTGCAAGAGGGTAACTCTCCTCTTGCAAGGCAGGAACCAGCGTCACCCACTTAAAAAGAGTGGGTGCCGGGCACTCCTATCCTGCAAGAGGGGATCTTTCCTCTTGCAAGGCAGAAGCAAGCAGCTCCAGCCTGAAAACAGCGGCACCCGGCGCTCCTGCCCTGCAAGGGGGAACTTTCCTCTTGCAAGGCAGGAGCAGGCAGCCCCAGCCTGAAAAGAGTGGGCACCGGGAGCTCCTGTCCTGCAAGATGGGAATTCTCCTCTTGCAAGGCAGGAGCAAGCAGCCCCCGCCTGAAAACAGCGGGGGGCGGGCGCTCCTGTCCTGCAAGAGGGGAACTCGCCCCTTGCAAGGCCGCGGACATCTGTCCTGCAAGCAGTGAATTTGCGGCTTGCGGGGCAGGTACGCGCGGCACCCGCACTTTTCAAGCGGGGCTGCAGACAACTGTTGTGGGCGGGGCTTCTCCCGCCGGCCATTTGGCTGGCGTCATGTCTGAGCCCTAAAAATGGGGGAACCCCTGCCCGCACCTGGGGACTAGCATCCCTAGAAACCGGGGATATCGTACAGGCCCTTGCAGCGTCAGACTCAATTGTTTTGGTTCCCTCTGGAGAAACGAAACGCCTCCTTCAACCCGCACTACACACAGAAGACGCCAAGGCCCAGCCAAACCGCCGGTCTTAGGGCCTCTCCCCACCCCCGTTTTCTAGAGTGCGGAGTAAGCAATACAGAGGAGCAGGGAGGTTTCAAATGGTCTGGCCTCCTCCCCCATTGTCTGCCCCCTCCCCGACTCACCTGCCAGCGCTAAGATCTGGGCCTTGTGCAGCAATGGCCGCTCTCCCCACTCGCCGGGGCTGCCGTCGCCGTCCTCAGGGTCGTGGGCCGGGCTGCGGTAGACCGTGTAGACCTTCTGGTTGTCGAAGTCGAGCCGGGATTTGGGGCTGAAATTTTGCACGCACGACACGGGCAGCGCATAGCACACGTTGTCCTCCAGAAATCGCACGAAGGCATACATTATGGAACGCGGGGAGGGAGGGGGGGTGAGAGGGAATGCAAAAACAAGAGCGGCAAGGCAGGCCGCCCGGCTGTCGGGATGAGGGAGGGGGCCGGCGCGGCTCGGTTCCCTCAACCCCAGCACTTCTGTTATTGTTCCTGAAAACCTGGCTCGGTGCTCGACTAAGCTGGTCTGAGCTCCACAGGCTTCTCTTACCAAGGCAGTTGGGAGTTGGGCTTCAGGCAAGCAGCAAGAGTCGAGCGCTGAGCGAAGCGAGCACCCGCTCTGACGGTCGTCTCGGAGAGAGAATCGTTTGTGTCGAGCGAAAACGTCGCTTACCTCTTCGAGGCAGCCCCGTTTCAAGGGCTGAGAAAAAGAGATCCTTCCCAAGTCTGGAGATTCGTAAAGGATTTGTCGCAAACACATTAAAACAGTTTTAAAAACCAGCCTGCGTAGAAGAAACGGATATCTTTTACGTGCCCCCGAACAAATACCTCCACGAAGCAAACTTCTAGAACCACGCAGGGCCGGTTTACCATTAAAGAGACCCAGGCGGCTGCTTAGGGTCCCACAATCCCCAAGTGTGTTGACACGCTGCCCGGGTCTCATCTTGCTCTCTGCTGACAGCAATGTGGGAGGAAACTACAGGTACAGCTTGTATTTATCATAACCTCCTAGAGCCATGCCACTGTTGCCAGGATCTACTGTCCAAAATGAGTAGCACAAGAGGCCGCTCAGACTCAAGCTTTTGCTTCCCAGGCCCATCACCCAGAATGAGTGCCAGAGGTACTGGGAGCAAATAAAGTTTACCTTGGAGCCAGTCAGCAGGAGCAAGGGAGGATGCAGTGGGTGCCTCCAAGAGCTGCACTGCTGCTACCCAGGTTCACTGTCTCCTATCCAAACTAAGCTTCAGAGATGCTGGAAACCAGGGCTTCTAGGGCTTGCTTAAAAGCCGGCTAGAGAAGCATGGAAGGAGACAAGAGGCACACACACCCAGCTGCTGCTGTCTGGATCCACGACCTGGAGCTCTGCTTCGAGTCAGTCAGTGGCAGCAGAGGAAGGAGCAATGGGTATCTTCCAGACCTGCAACTCTGCCATGTGGGTCCACTGTCCAAGCCAAGCTTCAGAGGCACTAGCAGCTGGCATTGCTAAAGCTTGCTTTGGACCTCAATAGAGGTAGTTTGGGAGGAGGCAGCAGATGCCTCCTAGGTGTGCATCGCTGCCACTCAGAGTCATCTGGAAGACTAGCTGGTGGCACAGAGGAAGTGTTGAGTATTGAGCCAGAGTCATCCCTGAACTAATACTTGGATCTGGTTGAGCATGTTTCCCACGAACAATAGCTTACAAGGATCCTGGAGTAGATCAATAGAGAGACAGTGTTATGTAAATAGCCTATCGTGGGGAGTAGGGTGTATTTGGTGTGAACAGGAAGGCAACAAAATACCTTGGGTCAGGAAAATATGACTGCAGGCTCTTGTACCTTTATTTATTTATATATTTATTTATTAGTTTCATTTGTATCCCGCCCTCCCTGCAAGCAGGCTCAGGGCGGCTTACATTAATCGGTACAAGGTACCATAAAATCCATATAAAACAAAACATTTTAAAACAGAGAAATAATCAGAGTGCTCACAGTAATAATCCTTCCTTCGTTAAATTCAGATGGCATACTATATAATGTAATACACAGAATTTCTGCTATATGATGTAATAAACAGAATTTCTGGCTCAGCGTTCTTCCGGCATCACACGATGATATGGCTCGATCTTCAAGCTGGGGCCAGCCCTTTACCACAGATGCTGGTGGTAGTGGTGGGCGGTTCCTAGTTAAAAGCCTGGTGGAAGAGCTCCATCTTGCAGGCCCTGCGGAACTGCAAAAGATCTCTCAGGGCCCTGATCTCTTCCGGGAGCTCATTCCACCAGTATGGAGCTGCCACTGAAAAGGCCCTGGCCCTGGTAACAGCGAGCCTGGCATCCTTAGGACCTGGGATGGGTAATCGATGTTGTGACCCCGACCGTAGTGCTCTCTGGGGTATATATGGGGAAAGGCAGTCCCTCAGGTATGTCAGACCCTGGCCATATAGGGCTTTAAAGGTGAGTACCAGCACCTTGAAGTGAATTTGGTATGCTATTGGCAGCCAGTGCAGGGCCTTCAGTGCAGGCCAGATGTGCTCCCACCTAGGAAGGCCCATCAAGAGCCTGGCCACGGCATTCTGCACTAGCTGCAGCTTCCGGATTTGTGACAAGGGCAGCCCCATGTAGAGAGTGTTACAGTAGTCTAACCTCGAGGTGACCATCATGTGGATCACTGTAGCCAGGTCGTCGCGATCGAGGAAGGGAACCAACTGCCGGATCAACTGAAGATGATAAAAGGCCAACCTAGCAGTAGCCGCCACCTGGGCCTTCATTGTTAAGGAGGGGTCCAGGAGCACTCCCAAGCTCCTAACCTCTGGCGCTGGCACTAAACGTGCCCCACCAAAGGTCGGGAGTGGGATCCCCACCCCCAAACCGCCCCGACTCAGGACCTCCATCTTCGCCGGGGCTCAGTCTAAGCCAACCAACCACAGCTTGCAAAGCCTGATCCAGATCTTCCGGTCTGGAGTCCGACTGGCCGCCCAACATCAGATAGAGCTGGGTGTCATCAGCGTACTCGTGACACCCCAGCCCATACTTCCGGGCAATCTGGACAAGGGGGCGCATGTAGATGTTAAATAGCATTGGGGAAAGCACAGCCCCCTGAAGCACTCCACACTGAAATGGATGTCTCCTGGTCTGCTGTTCCCCTAGTGCCACCCTTTGTCCCTGACCCTGGAGAAAGGAAGCAAGCCATTGCAAGGCAAGCCCCTGAATCCCCATGTTGGCGAGGCAGTGGGTCAGCAACTGATGGTCGACCGTGTCGAACACAGTCAACAGGTCCAGCAGCAACAGTACTACCAAGCCGCCCCAATCCAGATGCCTCCGGAGGTTGTCAGTAACAGTGACCAGTGCCGTCCCAGTCCCGTGTCCCAGGCAGAAGCCGCACTGGAAGGGATCTAATACGGAAGTGTCATCCATGAAGCCCTGTAACTGTATCGCCACCGCCCTCTGAATTAATTTGCCCAAATATCTTTGAAAGAAATACAGGTGCTGCTTTAACTTTAACTCCAAATAAGTTCTCAAAATGGAGAACAATATTCAAAAAATAAAACTTAGTCAAAAGCATTAACAGCAGGGAGAATAATAGAGACGCAACTCTATCATTGTTGGAATTAATCACCCGCTTGAAGGGAATAGTCCAGCTGAATGGACCAAGCTTTCATATATGGAAAGAGACTAAACAATTCCATAAATATGTGGTGGCAGCAAAATACAATCTGGCTTCTTGAGAAGGTTGTATCTACAGCAGAGATCATCACTGCACCTTAGGGATCAGAGAGTGACAAATTGAGGTTGGCAGTACAGTATTCCTCCAGGTATCCAAGACCTGGTACTTTGGTTAGTTTTTAAAGATAGGAAAGAGCACCTTAAAATTAGCCCAGAAACAAACTGCTGGCCACTGGAGTTCCTGCAATATTGATGTTACCTGCTCCTGACAGTTAACTTCCATCATCAGTCTGACTGGACCAACTGAAATTTTCAGACTGCTTTCATGAGTAGAACAAAGGAAGGGTGCACTTGATACATTTCTCTCAAGGTCAAACTAGAGATGGGAACCCCCTCCTCCCCCCAAAAAAACCCCTCAGGTAAAATAAAATCCTACTGTTTTTCCAGCAGAAATGTTGGGGTGATTCCTATGAAGATTTTTTTTCCTTTTAGAATGAATGAAATGCTTCTTAAGACAAGGTTTTACTCAGGGCTCTTTTTGTAGAAAAAGCCCAGCAGGAACTCATTAGCATAATAGGCCACACCCAACAGCAGGAACTCATTAGCATATTAGGCCACACCCCTGACAGCACAGCTCATTAGCCCATTAGACCGCACCCCCATGTTACCAAAAGTGTGGTCATCCAGCCACACCCACCTTTTGCTTCTTATTCCGTTTACCTTGTTTGTTGTCAAAACCCAGGGCTTTTTTTGCAGCAGGAACTCCTTTGCATGTTAGGCCACACACCCCTAATGTAGCCAATCCTAATGAGTTTCTGCGGTTGGGTGTGGCCTATTATGCTAATGAGTTCCTGCTGGGGGTGGCCAACTCAGGAGCCAGCCGGAACTCCGTTCCTGTGCGTTCCTGCCCAAAAATAGCCCTGGTTTTACTTATTCAGACTGTATAATAATATTTTCATATAAAATAATTACAAGATTAGATAATGATAATTCTTCTGTGTACTATGGACATTCACAACACATTTCTAAACATATATGTGATTAATTTTTAAAACTTTGTTAGAGAAGTAAATAAGTTTGGGTTTGATAATATATGTCAATTTTTCCCCAATTTTTTTTCTTAAACCAGATCCCACCCCATTTCAAAATTTATAGAAATTTTACATTTCCAGACCACACTGCATATTGGTGAACGGAGCTCCTAACATGATTTTTAATTTGATTTGACAGTGTATTAATTTATTCGTGTTATAGTCCACCTTTCTCACAGGAGCTCAAGGCAGAATGAGTCAGTACAGTAAACAAAATGAGACATTCAATAAACAATGCATGACGATTGTAGAAGTCTGGAACCACCAGAAAAGAACTGAAGGAAAGCATAAGTATTAACATAATACATTAAGCAGTGCAAAAAATACATAATAGGATCCTGCTTACAGTAGGATATAGAACACAATCTTTAAACATTTACCTGGGAAAGTTTGTGAACCATTTTGTATGGTGCAACCCTATTACCTGTGCAGAAAAGCCATCTTAAATAATTCAGTTTTGCACAATTTGCAGAAAGCCAGGAGAGTGGGAGCTTTCCTGACTTCCTCCGGCAGGCCATTCCATAAGGTGAGAGTCACAAGGTAGAAAGCACATGTACAGGCATTTGTTAATTTTGGCCATTTGCAGGTTGGCACCTGTAGAACCCCCTGCTGACATGAGCAAAGCTGTCATGCTGAAACATAGATGGAGAGGCAATTCCTCAGAAAAGAGAAACCAAGACCATGAAGGGTTTTGTGTATGGTAGCCAATAGCTTAGATTGAGACTGTTAACAAATGGGCAGCCAATGGAGTGTCTGCAGAATGGGA